ATCAAAGCTATTGTCATCTTCAAGAATTCTTAGCATTGCATCAGTTTCTTCCATGTCTCTGCTTCTGTCTTCTCTCCCTCCAACATCCAATCCATTATCTAGACAAGGTTCAATATCTATGTCATCTCTAGCTACTTCTAAAACAACTGGTTCTTGCAGGGGTGATGTTTCTGTGCTGTTGATAACATGGTCTGTATTGATGTAGATGGAAGTACAGCCATTATTACAGCCATTGTCATCTGTCTGTGTACCAATGGTACAGACTTCTTTGTAGACAACTGGTTGACCAATCATGACACAGTTCTCGTCTCTTGAACTCTAAAATGGTAGAAATTTATTATCAGATGATGATGATGATGATCTATTGTGTTAAACTGTTGAAAAAATCGTGAATTATGMGSRATTATGYGCGATTTGGTAAATTATGTGGAAAGGGAGCAATTATGTACGTCCGCATCCGTGCATAATTCCAACATGCCTGTTCATAAAGATTGTTACTAACACTGCTAGATCAAATAATTATTTATTTTSACTTTTTCTGATAAAGTCAGAGTCAAGTCGGCAAATCAAATTACGATTCTTGATATCAAACGGACCAAAAGACGTAATGAAGAACATGTCGAAAAAAACCTGATTGTCCACCCACTGAGACAAATCAAGTTTGCAAAGTAGAAAACTGCAATTTTGAAGAAGACTACAGATTTTTGAACGACTTTGCGAAATTTGAAAAAATATTTCTCTGCACAGAGTTGACGGAGCGACACTCAGAATGGTCAGTTGGGATGATGGTTTATCTGAAAATCACTGATAGGACTTTCGCTGTAAGAAATTGAGCGTTTCAAGGGAGAAATAATTTTTTGAGTGTGAGCATTTGGAAGCCGCACCGAGCTGGAGTTGTAAACCTTTCCTACATAATAAATATATGCACACTCCAAAGGGAGCAAATCTTTGAAGTGCTCAAAATCACCTCAGTCTAAATGCGCTGTCTTATACCATTACACCATTCAAAAAACCAAATTTCTGACTTTTTCCGAATTTGAATTCAACGAGAATTCTTTGACATCTACTTCCCGGTCATTA